CCAATCGACTCAGCAGGTCGATTTACATGGAAAAAAACAATAAAATTTTTTCCATTTTTTTTCTCGTTTTTCTCAAAACCTACGTGTCCTACGAGCCTAATTCTTTTCCAATCGACTCAGCAGGTCGATTTACGACGAAAAAGTTAATAAATTTTTTTCCGAATTTTTTGGGTTTTTCTCGAAAACTATGTGTCTTTCAATCCTAATTCCTCGTCCAATCGACTCAGCAATCGATTTGCATCCAAAAAGTCAATAAAATTTTTTTCGATATTTTTGGGTTTAGTTTTTCTCTTAAACGACGTGTCCTATGAGCCTAATTCCTTGTCCAATCGACTCAGCAGGTCGATTTACATAGAAAAATTCAATAAATTTTTTTCGAATATTTTGGGTTTTTCTAGAAAACTACGTGTCCTACGAGCCTAATTCCTTGCCCAATCGACTCAGCAGGTCGATTTACGTCAAAAAGTCAATAAATTTTTTTTTCGATTTGTTTGTTTTTATTTTTTTCCCCCGAAAAATACGTGTCTAACCATCCTAATTCCTTGTCCAATCGACATCCAAAAAGTCAATAAAAATTTTTTCGATATTTTTTTTAAAATAAATAAAAGGCGATCAACCGCTTTGGGTCATTTTCCGCCTTTAAATACTTTCAAGCCGGGTGGTGAGTGGGCCACAGCTCATGAACCCCCCCAATAGCGGAAACCAGGGCCCAATAGCAGCATCACACGCCCCGGACACCCCTTCACAGCCACCACCAGACGCGCACCCAAACCGCACCCCAAGACATCTCCCAACATTGAGTGGATTACAGATTATTGCATACTGAACATGAATGATTTAGTATTAAATTATTACTATTTTATCTTCATATTTCCGAAATTATTTCCGAGTTTTTCTCTTAAACTACGTGTCCTACGAGCCTAATTCCTTGTCCAACGACTCAGCAGTTCGATATACATCGAAAAATCAATTAAAAATTTTTCGAATTTTTTTTGGATTTTTGCGTTTTTCTTAAAAACTCCGTGTCCTACGAGCCTAATTCCTTTTCCCAATCGACTCAGCAGGTCGATATACATCGAAAAATCAATTTAAATTTTTTCGAATTTTT